CCTTTTTCAATCTAATTTTCCTTGATGCAATTCATTAAAATAATAGTAAGGGACAATTCTGGATGCTTGTTTCTTTGACTATGCAACCTGTAACCACAGGGGCATGCAGATAGATTACCAGTGTGAAAACAGAGGCGTGAGTTTGAGCTATAAAAGTGGCAGGTGCATTGCATGACTACAAAGGGAAACTGCTCTATTTGGGAAGTCTGCCATAAACTCAACGGTCTAAGCAGTAAGGGTTACAATGAGCTCATATTTATTTTCATATCATTTGCCTCTCTGCTCAAAGAACTCCTGGATTTTTTTGACCTCAAATGTTCATTCCAAAAAGGCGCTTACCTGTAAACACCACCTGCATGGTGGAGCACATCATGAGCCACTGCTGCCACTGTATTGATTTCTTATCATTCATAATGTGAAAATTTGATTGCCCATCCAGCCAGCATGCAGGCTGCCAGGCCCTGCAGATGGCAGACACATGTGTGCACAACATTTTCATCTCATAGCTCTGATGAGAACAGTCAATAAAATTAAGGCTTTTCCACCTCTGTCACTATCTTGGTACAAATTGTCTCTTTTAGTTGTTGTTTTATCTCTATCCCTGTAATTTCCAGATTATATTGGTTTTAAATATTTGTACTTAATTTTGGCATTGGTAGGCAGTTGGACCACCCATTGGATTTTCCTGGTGCCAACATTTTCTTGATGTTACCTAGTGTTTTAATTCATTAGCTTCCTTCCCTAGTGGTGGATTAACTTTCATCTTGTTTTATAGGCGACTGTGTTTGTAGTGAAAGTAACTTCTGCAACGTAATTCCTTAATAACCGGGTCTGCGCGGATAGATGGTAGACTCAGAGGTTAAAATCATCTCTCCTCCTCATGACTGTGGTGCCCTGGGGGTACTGCGGTCACCTCAGCCAACTTGAGGCATTTGCACATACAGTGATGTGCACCTCAGAAAGTGGTGATATCACTGATCACAGTGAGAGCAGGAGCAAAACTGCGTTTCATACTGTGCAACAGTGTATGGTCTGGTTTTGGAATGACTGTGCAGTGTTTTTTCAGCGAGGGTTTCTACTGGTTTATCGTCTGAACATTCAGGCATTTCCAATGACTTCTCTGAGGATATTTAGACCCGATAAGGACATAATTGGATTACTACAAACCCAGATTTTTTCCATTGTTCTAGTTCTGAATAGGCAAATGGTTGAACCTCTTCAGGAACTGAAGAAGGAGAGATACAAAAATCTTCAGATAGCAAAGTATGCAAAGCTCAGCCTGTTTTCATTTAAGCAAAGTCACTGAAATATTTTCTATTTTGCATCTTGAAAAACAGTTCCAATAAGATTAGAACTTTGGGCACTAAAAATAAAAGTTCTGCCTATTTACTTATTTGTTCAGGTATGATATATCAAATACACAAGAGGGGTCTTCATATCACATTCTGTCCTAGGGGTCATACCAGTTATGTAGACTTCAGCAGACAGCAGTTTCCACAGAAACTCTCCCAGCTTCTGACCACTCTTAGATTCAGATGTGGTTTCCATGTTTTAATAACTCTCAGTGGAGTGGATTTCTATTCCATGAACTTGTCCAATTTCCTCTTAAACCAGTGTAAACTTTTAGCATCTACAATATCATCATTCATGATTTTATAGACCTTGTCATTACCCTTGTCAGCTGCCTCTCTTCTGGAATAGTCCCTAGTTGATTTGGTGGTTTCCCACGTGGGAGCTGAGAATGACTGACACTTTTTCACTCTTCAGATAATTTCCAGTTACATAAAGAAGGAATGTTACAGGTGACCAGAATAGTAGATCTCCTAGCAACTTTCCCACGTGAATTATTCTGTGCTGGGAAATGGGAGATATATGATGATCTTACATGGATATGATCAATTCATAAAAATCCTGAAGCAACTTTTTATCAAGCTTTCTAGCTCCTTCATGATATAAAGATTAGACTTATGGGTACTGGACCTTAAATTGCCATTACATGAATGTCTCAGCCATCAGAGGAATGGTACATTTTGGTATGTACAATGTTTACAGGGTTGAGAAAATATAGGTTCTGGAAAATTATTTTTTTAGAACGCAGTTGCTTTAAGCACTTTCTGGTCATTGGACCTAATAGAGGGATCATTCTCAGAGAAAAGTATCTACTTTTACTATATTTCTGATAAGAGATTGTAAGGAGTACTACTAGCATAACTGCATTAAGGAACAAATAGATTAAATGAAGTATGAGTTGCTGGAGCAGATGATTCTGTCCCACTGACCACATGTTGTTCCATAGAGATAGGGGGAATCTAACTGCCCAAGTGCTCATTTGCATTTCACATGACCCTTATTTACACAACTAAATGGTATTTCGATCATGTTACTGAGGACTTTGAATATCATAATTATACTCCCAGGTTTAAAGATGGGCTGAAAGTTTATTTTAATTGCTAGCTTTATAGTAGCTAAATAAATGGGTGTTCTTAGAGCAGTGTGTATAGTTTTACATACTTGCTATAAAACTTGCTATTGCATTCCTTCTTTGAAAAGAATAAAAGCAATTTTAAATTAGCACAAAGCTACGAAGAAGCCAAAGACTGTAAAACTGGTGGCACCACAAACAATAGCTCCTATCAAAAAGTTCTGTTAGAAGTGAGTCTACACAAACTGATGCAGACAGTCATGGTTTGGCCTATCTTCTGGCCTAGCCAGTCATGAACCACATCTTCTTTGGAAACAATGTAGATGCACCAATATAAAGCCAAGGAAACGTGATGGCTCTAATGTGGCTACCCAGGTTTTGGTCTAAAGCAGGCTTATGCCTAGCCAGGTAGGTTTCAGGGTGAAGCAAACATGATTGTCTGCACTTGTTGATTAGACATGCCTACCTGTTTTCAAGAGATCACGAAGTAAAGGGTATAACTGGATCAGAACCAGCACACTAGCTCTTTGTATCCACAAGCCTTTAGCGTAACTAAAATCAAATTAGCATTTTGTGATCAGGTCCATTTGCACTAAAAAAAAGCAGAAATTGGCTAAGTTGAGGTGCCTGACCATGGTTATTGTTTTTTCTCTTATTCCATTTCTTTTTTGCTATCTGCAAACAACATTTTTTATTTAAAAATAAACACAGTAAAGAAAATAAAATCAGGAGGAAGGAAATGTGTAGATTTTTGTCAACAAGTGAACATTGCCATAGTAAATGCAACACGATAGTTATTAGAATAGCATCACATTTGCTGCTGAAAGTATGATCGTTCATTTTTATGGGAGAAAACCAGGAGCTTTTCCCTACGTTAAGTTCTCATTTTCTTAATCTCATTCACTGGCTGGTACCAGACTTCACAAATTGGACATTTTTCATTTCAAGCCATGCATGGATGTACATTCTAATTCTACCATTAAACTTAATGGAGAAAAATTTGACCCAACCATGTCAGCACATTTTTATGAGTAAAACCCCAGAGTCCCTTACTCAAACCCTTGGTAGCTTATGAGTTTATATGCAGCTTTGGTAAGGGCTTTTAAATAAGTGAATGTATTTTAAAACAGTATTTGTCAGAATTCTATATTATTACATTTTTCCAATTTTGTTGCTTTATATGTAATCTTCTCATTTCCTCCCTCTGGCCTGTAAAAATGGTCCTCACTGCTATGCTGCTCATATAGCAAAAACTGGCCAACTTTAGTTCCAATAGCTATTTGACTGATTCTACCCTGAGAGTGTCCACACGTGAAAAATTGACTAGATAATTATATGTGTATCCTAAATCTTCTTTCCCTTATTTTTCCACTCCACTGAAACCCTATCTTGACCTAGATACGTGCTCTAATTTAACACAGTTTCCTTGTATACTGTACTTGTTCTCAAACTTGTAAACATTTTCTTTTCTTCTGTATAACATGTAGACAGTCTATATATAGCATGCTAAGAAGGATCCTTACGGCTTGCCTTTCTACAAAACAAACACTAATTACAACACAAGCCCCTAATTAAGTCCCATGGCATAAAAATGCTCTCAGCCCTCATCTGGAGCACTTTGCCTTGTGCTTTTCTGGGGGTGGGTAAAGACAAAAGTTTAAGGAAGCTCATAAACGGTTAGCGCCATGGGCTTTGAGTAGTCTTCCCACATGTATATCCCTCTAAAAAAAACCCCAAAACACCACAAATGGAGTAGTAAACCCTCAGAAAATGTGTAGGTAACAAATACACAGAGTTGTTAAATTTACTTCAGTACAAAGAACCACACTGCCAATCCTCATTCAGTTTTCCTGCTTCTCCCAGCATGGGCAATAACAGCAGTGGGTCAAACCTGTGATAATATTATGCACAGAGAGTAAAATCAAAGTGGGTACAGCTCCTTTTCTGCTGAAAATATGGTTGTCTGATCCTTTAGGATCCTTTGTTGGAAAATTCAAACAGAGGTCTCCATCCCCTAGGAAATAGTCACCTATCATATTTTCCTAAATCTATTACATAGATTGAACCTATGAAACTATGTTGCTGCAATAATTTAACAGCTTAAATTATTTACATATGATATATGTGTTATTAATATTTTTTAATAAAAGTGCATTTTCAGGTTAAAATGAAAAATTTGCAGATTTTTTAAACCCATTTTTTCAAAGTTAGGTTTTTTTTCAAAGCTTAGCCCCAAAACATATAAATTTCTGGGTTATAATTTTTTTTATTTAAATGTATTTATTTATTTCAATAAAGAACTTTAGTTCAACTGCAGATTTCTAGTATTTATATTTCAAAACACAAAATCTTTACTGAAGCAGTTCCCCCAAAATAGTAGCAAGTTAGTTAAATAACAAAACTCTTCAAGCATGTGAAAACATCAAGATTAATTTTTAAAATAATTGGCTTTTTTCTGCAGCTGTTTATTACTACTACTAATAATAATAATTTATATTTATTACTGTATATTATTGTATCTTCGTACATTTCCAGTTCCCAGATTTAGCTGAATACTTTCATTCTGTTTCCTTTTCAGGAGCAGATCTCTACAGTTCCCAGAGAGCATGTGGGCCCCGTAAGTAATAACTACTCATTGTGTGAGTTCTTAGGTCACTATGGCCCCCGCCCCAAAGGGCTCAAATATTTGTGTGCTTCACATGATCCTACATGAGTGACCCCATGGACTAGGATGACTTCCAATAGCTGAGGGACATCTTTCAAGGAGCAGATGACTCCCTGTTCATTGAACAGTAGTTTGGCAGCTCACCTATGGGCAACGTCTTCATCTTTCCAGTCATGGACCCCGTCGGGGTCCATGGAGGCCACAGCTCTATTCACACAGCTATAAGACTCCCTGGCTTGCATTCTGCTCCTGCAAGATAACCTCTTCTTAACTGGGTGTGTTGTGGGCTTTTTTTTGGCCGATGACTCCAGTTATCACTTTGCAGCCTGCCTGAAAAAGGGCCTAGAACCTCTTAATGAACCCTTTGTCTCAGCTTCCTGTCTCCTCTGTCACTGAATGACTAATTACTAATTTCCAGCTATGAATAGTTTACATTACATCCTACTTCTTAACCCCAAGGGTATTTACTTGAATTTATGTTCTTTAGATTTCTGCAGACGGCTTTATGCTCCTGCAAAAGCATCACTGAACACCTACCTGCAATAAACAGCAATTCTCCAAACAAGTATTTTTAAATATTTGACATCAGTCATAGAAATTAAGAAAACTGTCTCTGAGTGTTCTGCTAAATCCAGCATGTTAAACTGTTCTTTTTTTTTTCTTACATAAGATTTTTTCAAAATTTCTAGTTTCCCAAATAGTTAAGTAGCTGCACTTCCCCACACACTAGTTCCTCACTAATCCTCTAGTCTTCCCCTGAAATCACTCTGCAGTGCCTGGATTATAATTATTGCAGTAGATGTTCTGGCTGCTACCAGCCACCTTGGTTATTTCATTATGCTTTTTATCACAATCATTTCTGGTGATCTGGGCTGACTGTGAATGCCCAAGGGGATGTTTTTCCAAACATGTAATTATTCTGTTTGCCACTTCAATTGCCAGCACCAAACCCCTGGCTGGTCTCTTGAGTAGTTAGAATTAGAGCCTGTGGCTCTGTGCTGTTGATCTCGCTTGCCTGCCTGACCTAAATTCCATTGTACACCTGCCATTATGCATTTGCTTAAATCTGGAACAAATTCTGGTACTTGATGTACTGCCAGTGTCAGTTTTTAATTTGGGGAGCTGACTGGGTAAAGCAATTTGTCTCTGCATCAACTTGTGGACCTGCCACAGAACCACTGTGCACGTTCTTCTGAGCCAACAAAGCTCAGCAGGGTGGAGGGCACGTCGGAGGGTGCAGCCTTTGCCCAGTGCCGCTCACTCCCCACACGTGCAACAGCACAAAACTGCTTCAAATACAACCGCTCGTGATGCTGCTCCTGCTTTTGGCTGGCACGCCGTATGCGGGAAGATCGGAATGCATAAAATGAGCACAACACTCAGAGAGAAGCTGTGGATTAAAAAAAATACCATGGAGCAAATACCTCCTGTAGAAGTCCTATTCGTAAGACACCAGTGTAGTTCAAAGTAAAAAGTTTCTCAGAGAAATATGCTAACTGGCTCTACATAGTCACGCTTAGCTAGAAGGGATTTGCAGCCCTATTACATTTTTTTCTAATACATGATAGAATCAGTGTTTCGAACTTATAAATAATAACATAAACATCATCCAGCCAAAACCTTTGAAGAAAATGTGCCTCAGAGGCAGGAGGCAGCTAAGGTACTTTCAACAGCTGGCAACAGCTCTGGGGCTATGAAGTAGGGAGCCACAGTTCTTGCCACCTTCAGATGAAGAGGTAGACTAATGTTTTTTTTAAACTTCTGTAACTCAAACTGATATGTCCTTAGGGCAGTTGGTCGGAAATCTGACATACCTTAAACTCAATGAACACTAGAACATTTTGTTCTGAAGAACTCAGTCAGAGTTATCACTGGAGTTAGAATGGAAATGTTCACAGCATGCACCAGTCCTACCCAGGACAGCATTTGACATTGCTGTCCTCTAAAAAGGATCTTTTAGGATGTCCTTGTGGCAATATCACAGCTGATCATGCACCTCTGATTCCAAGCAGGGCAGAAGTCTACTCTTCATTTTCATAAGACAGCAACAGGAGCACAATAATGGGCCAATTGCAAAAGTGTAAATAATTCTGGGTACCTGGAAGTCCATGCAAGAGGTGGAGCATTCTGTTCTTGGAATTAGGCACCTAAATTCTGCCAAAATCCCATTTAGGTGTCTAAATCTTTGAGTGGATCTGACCAAGATGATATGATCATCTGAGATGCCTAGAATGTAAAGGCTTCTGTTCTTGGAATACTTAAAAACCATCAGATTCTCCTTTTCTGATAAGAAATGTCCAGATTATCTCAAATATGAGATTTAATTTAATAAAATATACTGAAAAATACAAACTGGAATGGTTTAATTGAAATCAAGACAATGGGAAGAGTTTCTAAGTCATCAGAAATTTTCATGGCTAAAATTGTATGAAAGATATTATCATTGCAACATAGACGTTCAAATAATGGTGCAACCTGAAACAAAACTATTGACATAAAAAAATTGAGAGAACTTATTACGACAGATAGTAAAATGAATTACTTGTGTCAGTGTGTCATCAGTAGCTTTTCAGGTGACTATAAATCTGAAGTGCTTCCTTGCATTTCATGAAAGCAGAATTCTACTGAAAATACATCTTGATATTGTAGGTAGCACTGGAGACTGGAGTTAAATCTTCAGTGTCTCCATTTAAAATGTTCACTGTTGTCAAAAAAAAGAGACAAGGAAATAAATTCTTTTCAACTGTTTGCTATTTGGGCAGGGACTTTGTCTTCTACATGTGTGTACAGTGCAAAACACGTTTGGGTGTGACTGTCCTTTTAAAGTTACCATTATATAATAATGTAAATAAGCTGTTGGCTAAATTGTTAAGCAATTCTGCCCTGAATTCTTGATTTGGTCTCTCTACACTTCAAAGACAATACATTGATAAGACATTTTAAATGGTCTTCTCATTTAGATTTTTTCATCTACATGTGAAGTACCACTAGTGTCTGGGTCCCATCTCCAGTGTGTTCAGTGTCAGCTTTCCATAAAGACACAGATCAGTGCAGTGCAGAAACGGTTTAATTGTTGAAATTAGGAACTGGGGGTGACAATTGCCCCATTGTTAGATTTATTCTTGTAAATAACATGGTTTTAAGTCCTTTGACTACTGTTTTGATACTCAACCATTAGGTTATCTGGATGCATACTTTCTTTTGGATCTGTTCTACTTTCTATAAATAATCACTTATGCAACAAAATCTGGGTTCCTCACCTTCATGACTGAGCCCGGAGTGGTATTGGCTAGTCTGGTCCTTTTTACCATCAGCAAAACCTCTACTCTGAACTGAGCACTTTTTTCTCAGAAGAAGGTTCTCATAAACTTATTTTTCATCCTCAAAATTTTTACTTACACCTAGCAATGAGAATATATCAAAACAGCTTTAAAATCCATGAAGAATCATCAGTTAAATTACTATAACATTTGTAAACTGCAACTGTGGTACAAAGAGTCTAGACTGGGTAAAAGATATGGCCCATTTATTTTGTTAATTCTAGTATAATTTAAACAATAACAGTTCTTCCTTTTGAGACTATATTTCCCAGAACAACACTGTACATTCCTGCTGATGTTTTTTAGAAGAGATTGGCAATGGCCAAGTGTCCCTATTCCCACAGCTCGTGAGCACAGCAGGACTAGTGAGCAACACCACATCTTATGAGCAAAGTTTTAGCACAAGCTGTCTTTTAGACCTTTACAATTAGCCATGAAGTACTTACGGCAGAATCTACGTGAAATAAATGCATATGTTAGGGTTTTCAAAGCGAAGGGATTAGAGATAGCTCATAGGAAGCTGGTGCCTATGGCCCTGTGGATTCCCTTGAAAGTCCCAGCAAGACATATTTCTGCTAACACTCTGAGATAGAGGAGCAGGGCCTCCACATTGCTGATGTCTTTCCATTAAAGTGCCCAACTCCTCTGGGGCCTTTTAGCATTGCATCCTTGGAGACAACTGAAAAAATAATTCCTGAATCAGTGCCAAGTGGAAAACAGGACAAACGGCCTTCCAAGAGCACACAAAACAAAGATGACAGGAAAAAATAAACAAGGAGAATGATAGACCTATTTCATTCTGAAGTGAGGCTTACATGAAATAAATGGTGATAGGATTGCTTTCCAAGTGGAACATGAGAGTGAGATTGCGAAAGAAAGAACTTTTATACATTAAATATCTGGAGTTGGCACTTTCAGTTATGCTGGAGACTCTGAAGTTTCCAAGGCATCTTTCAGTAGACTGTACAAATGCCTAAGAAAGAGTAAAGGTGTCTTGGATCAGGCAGCACCCAATATGTTTATGCAGCCTTGATGGGAAGGGACATGTTTATTCAAGCTGCTAAGCCAAAATTATATGGATTCTAAGAAATTTCATGCTGTACTTTCACAAGCTGGAGAAGGAATAAGGGAGAAGAAAAACAGGGCCGGGGGTGGGGGGTTGTGTGTAGGAAAATACTTAGCACTGGACTCTTACTTCACAGAACCTCAACAGTGATTCAGTGTGACCCAGCAATCAGGCACTGCAGTGAGGTGTGTTTATGGAGGCTATGCTGCAGTCACCCTCCCTCTCTTCCCAGCACTACGGGTATCGTTGTCCTTGTGCGCCTGTGGTCATGCTGTGCAACAGGGATCAGAGAACCAACCTCACTAAACTCCAAATATTTTTTCTTATGGATTAGATTTCACCCAGGTGAATTCCCTGGATCACTGGACAATAAGTTTGTAGTTATTTTGGAAAATAATATCTATATATTCCTCTAAGAAAGTGTCACGTCATCGTTAACTCCAAAAAATATATCTGTATACTCCACAATCATGTGTGTTTGAAAAGTTGCAGAGTAACACTGTTAGATTCTGCAGTGACTCAGAAAGGCACAATTTCTAGCCAGACCCTACTCTAAACACTGGAGCAGTATCTCCTTGCTAGACCAAGTTGCCTTTCACTATTGAAGTGTAACTCATGTGTAAGGGGCTCATATAATCTGCCTCAAGGAATTATTACCGTAGTTAAAGCAAATTGTTTTGCAGGCACTGGCTTTTTAGTTTTGTAATAAATCTAGAGTTTCTTTGTCTTGCTTTATTTTGTTTCAGTGAATAACATCCACTCACTGTTTTTTCTTCCCCAGATACTTGAAAACTTAGTATTTTCAAAGCAAAAGGTTTTGTTTGCTTAAGTATAAATATACTTTTATGACTTTGCATACCTCAAAGCACACACAGAGAAAGGGGGAGATGGGAGAGAGAGCAAAGAGAAAATGAGGGAAGCAGATTAAAGGAGAAAAAAACAGAAAAGACAAGCTTTCCCTGTTTGAGTCACTGCTGCTCTTTGACTCACATTTGTGATGTTTTCAAGGGAGCTTGAGATCCTGAATCTCAAATAGTACTTGGGAAGATCCAACTATCTAGCAGATGATTCTGTGGATATCGTGGTCCAGTCCCACCCTGTGTGTCTCCCTTTCTCGGCCACAGACAGTGGCAGGTATAGAGGTAGAGTGTAGGTCAGCTGAGTCTGGCCTTTTTTTCAGTAAATAAGTGTGGAAATTTCCCTGGATATTGTTTCTCCATAAAGGAAAAATCAGGTTTTTAACAAAAGTATTTCTGTCATTTTCTCAAGCCACACAAGGAAAGGGGGGATACATTCCTGTTGCCCTTTTTCTAGAAATTCTCTCACACAGTGGTCCCAGACTATTTGCCCAAATTCCAGGGACTGGATCCTTACCAGCTCCATCAAGTCCCATGGGAGAGTAACAGTCATGCAGGCAAAAGAGTTTTGGTTGATCTGATGTTGATGGATGCTATGGGTACTGTAAGAAACTAAATATCTGTTCAGCAGATATCATCAATGTGAAGAAAAAAGGATTCTGATGCAGGCTGCGTTTAGATATTTGGCCACTGTGTTGGGAATACGTTGCTTCCCGCAGCAGTTCACACTCTATCATGTGGAAGCTGGGAAGCTGAATTCTTTGTTTTGTTTTGGGTTTTTTTTTTTTTTTTTTTTTTTTTTTTTTTTTTTTTTTTCTTAGGCAAACAAAATCTTACTGTACTATTCTTAAGACAGCAGTTCCTCCCACTGGAAAAGCCCAGACACCTCAGCTTTAACTCCCATGATCTAACCACTTGGCTTCCCTGATCAAGGAATATATGTGATACCATATCTCAGTAAAAACAAAAATTACAGCAAAATCTTCAAAACGTTTAAGAGAGTGGATTTTGAAGTTTCATAGATAGAGATCTTGGGATCCCTTTACCCTGTACTACAAATTTAAAAATAAATCTATGAAAGGATTTTGTTTTCAATGATTTAAACATAGTTTTAAATAACACTTAGCACCTACTAGCTTTGTACTTTGTTTAAATGTATCAGCTGTTACCAATATTGTTTAATCTATATCTGTATTACCTTGTATTTACCATCTGTTCTTTGAATGGAGCCTCTGTAATAGATTATGTTTAACATTAATTTAAAGAAGAAAAATGGACTTGTAATTATGTTTTCTAGTAAACTGTTGTCTCAGCCCTATCTTTAGGATCATTTACAGCAGGTGGGAAATGGCAAGGGATTTTGAGATGGTGGCTCAGCAAGCCAAAGTGGGTCATGGTTAGGCCCTCTGCAAGGTCACTCTGAACCTGTCAGGATTATCTAGTGCATGGCTAGGGTAAGCTGGTCCTATTTCCAATGCAAAGAAAAATTCAGTAGAATAGGACATATTGGAATTCCTGAATGATGCCATACAAATAATAAATTACTAATAGTTTAGTTAAATAGGATATACTTACAATATACACATATAATATTTATATATAGTATGTGTATATATAAAGTTGTTCACAGCCCAGTGAGTATATAGAAACTGAGTCTCTCTTCATCAGGCTAGATCAGATGGTGAACTGAGACTGGTTTCACTTGTGTCTGACTCTACCATGCTGTTACACATGCCTTAAAAAGCTGTTTAACTCTATTCACTTGGTAGATAGCAATATCAGGGAAAACAGGAGGTTGCATTATACCTGGAACCGAATGTCACAAACCAGCATCTCTGTGGTCCACCATGGCAGGCTCTTGTGTTTTCATCTTTCTGAACACTTGTAGACTCCAGCACTCTCTCTCTTCCATTTCTCTGGCACACACTTGCACTCACACTCCTTTGCAATCATCCTCCTCTGTTCAGCATCCTTTCTTCAGAGACCTCACCCCAATGTTGTAGGACTTCAGGACTGGGGAGAGAAAAAAAAAAAAAAATGAAAGCCAAGATGCCACTATTACATCAGAGAACCTCCCATATTTCTATCTATTGTTTTATCCTGTTTAACAGCTCTAGTTAAGCCCTTCAGAGACACCAGCTGTGGGAAGCCTCCACAGCTGATTGTATTCTTACATTAGCATAAGGGATATATAGATATATCACAACAGTAGCACAGTCAAGTTCCTTCTACCCAAATTCCTCTTTTTACTTTGGGGCTGTGTCTGACCAGGATCCTTTTCCTTCATGACCTTTCCAGTATACAGTAGCCTTCCATTTTACCACCTAAGAGTTTTTGAAAAAAAAAAAAAAAAGAAAAAACAACAACAAAAAAAAAAAATTCAGAGATAGTCACCCCCTTTTTTTCACAAATAATTTTTAGTTTCTTTTGTCAGCCAAACACCTTTAATTAGCAGGTCAATGTGGAATAAAATGGAACAGAAATGCCTGTTACACTGTCATGACATAGGTCCTGAATACAACACTAGGCCACTGATTAAGAACAACTATTTTCTAGCCTGAATAAAAATCTTGCTATTCTGCTGCTACTTCTGCCACAAATCCAGACTGAATTCAGTCACTGAAACCTAGAAAAAGGTTTTCTTTAAACTCTGCTCTCTGGCTGATGTTATTTCCAGGAGTTAATGAGGGCCATCCACGCTCTGCAGTTGAGAAGTGTGCAGTGAGTGCTAAGGTGATGCTCACATGGGACATGAAGCCTTAGATGCCAGATGAAAGGAGCTGACTGGTGTCAGCTCAGGTATCTCTGCACCAAAGTCTCTGGCTCTGAGTTGTTAAATTATATCTCTGTGTGTAGGGATACCTGATGTGGTACAAAGCTAGAGCCGGACTCTCCCGAAGTATGCCTGTTTGCTCACAAATCAGGATTTATACCTGTTAGAACCGTCTTCGTTAAGCCCTGGTCGATCATCAGTCACACTGATGGATGATTCCATTACACATAGGCATAATGCTGGAAAAGCTGAATTGACTGTTATTTCATAAAAGAGGAATCATGTTTCAAAAAATTAAACTGGGTTAAATGTCTTGGGTCTTAATAGGCTTCCAAAGTTTTAATATGTTACATTCTACTTGGTATGGCATATGTTATAGCTTATAAGGATTACCTCATCTAATTTCTGTCCAAAATCTTCATTTAAAAAATAATTTGGGGAGAACATTTACATCCACAGTCAAAGTTGAACAGCTTTACAAAACCGTGCCATGGCTGCTTGTGGTGAAGGATCCAAATCCCTTCCATACCACTGCCTGACACATACAGTGAGCTGGGAGCCTTGGGAAAAACTTTCCTATCGCATGCGTATCCCATGTACTGCTATGAAATGCTGTATTTGTATCATCATATTTAAGAACAAATAGAGCAATCACTAGGAACCCCATTGTCAGTTTTTTTCTGAATGTTTAGGAAAACTTCGGTTAGTTTTACACTGTAAGCCCTCAACAAAATATGAAAATACAGAATTGACATGAGAATATGTTAAAATAACTACTAAATCAGTCACTTTTGAGACAATATAGCATATTGCAACTGGAAAGGGCAAAACTATACTGGTAAGTCCATATTTTCAAGTGATGCATTTATTAAGATTTTTCAATTTGAAATAGTTGACTTCAGAAGGTTTTAACAAAGAAAATGCTAAGGACATGAATAGTCGCTGTATCAGCTGATAACCCAAGCCATTTGTATCAAATGAGACACCCCAAAACTCATGATCCTTGAATCTGTGGCCACTTCCAAATAATTCTAGTTTAGCAATACAGTCCCAAGTACACGTAGATGAGAGTCCTTTGAAGACTAGCATGTCACATTGAGAAGGAAAAGCCTGGTTCATACATTGTTTTGAAATTTCTTCTGTGCCTCATAGAGAACATACAAACAAAAAGAAAGTAAAAATATACAAATGAATCTTCCAAGAAAATGTTGCAATGAAAGAAAATGACAAATAATTTCCTTTGTTTGGAATACAAAATACAAAGAAAATCTCTACAAACAAACTTCTTTCAGTAATGATATGAGTTAAGTTCACAGTGTAGGTCATGATATCCTGAAGCACCATTACCTCCATTTTGGGAGGAATTACTGGAAGAAATACTTCATAAATCTGGTGAAGTCTGTTGTATTTGACAGTATGGCAAGGTCTCCAGATGACTATGGGATTAACACACACTACTACTGTATCTGCTCATTGTGGCTTCTTCAGGAGAAAAAAAGCTCAGTATAGAAAGCTGTAACTCTTCACAGATAAATAGGAAGTCTCTGTTATTTTAGATATTGGTCACACAACATGGAGGCTGCCATCTTCTGGTCTCTGCTTAAACTATAACACGAGAGCATCAGCTGGATCTGATGGCCGTTGTGAAATCAGCTGAGGGTCATCACCCCGTTTCTAACGTGTCCAGCAGCCTGTCTGAGCAGGATGTTCAGAACACAGCTGTGAAAGTCAAGTCCATCTGGAAGCTTGTTTTATGCCCATGGTAATTTTTCCTATGCTTCAATATCCTCTAGTTCACTGAGTTAATCTTGGTACTTGTTCCAAGAGTACATAATTATTAAGCACTGTACTCTTGATTTTGTCCTAGCAGGATCTAGGAAAAAGCTAGAGTCTTCTACCAACCTTTTATCTGTGACAATTAGAGTTGATACCTATATGAATGACCATGTGAAAAGGAGCTCCTAGGAGATGCAGGTGACTGCTGCAGTGCCAGTGCACATTGTGTGAATGAAGCATACCGATTAAAATGCAGAGGAGATTTTTCACCTGAAATACCTGCAGAGAAAGAATGTTTTCACTTTCCTCTGTATTTATTAGTTTAGCTGAAAAATGCAAAAAAAAAAAAAAAAAGATATTTAAAACCTGAATTTAACAAAAAGGACACAAACACTTTCTTTCAGTGTCTTCTGTGTAAATCCCTGGACATTTTCTATATAAAGGTGTCTGAATAATTATTTGTTTTCTTCACATATTTAATTGAAAGTGCTTGGCTTTTTCCAGCCATTTCTTCAAGGCACATAGCTGTGACCACACTAATGTCCTATTTCTTCTGTATAGCTGGTATTTCACTACAGCAGTCTAAAACAGTAGACTACAAATCCATGGAGTACATGGCAAATGTCAAAAGAGGGGATTAAACTGTTAAAAATGCCCAGAACTACTGCTTTCTTTCTGTTTTCTTAGTCTCTTTTTTTTTTTTTTTTTTTTTTTAAAGTCAATTAAGGAAGATCTAAAAAGTGACCACAGTCAACAAGAAAACCCCAACACTATTAAAGGGAACATGTTAAGGGCCCTTTAAACATGGAGCTTTTAAAATCTTTAGATTTTATTACATAAAATGAAATTTTTGAATGTTTACTTTCTTACCTGTATGGCTTTTTTTTTTTTTTTTTTTTTTTTTTACTTTATTTAAAATCATAGTTGTCACAGTGTTCTTTCCCTTGATGTGGGGGACCGGTGCCGCAGCCATGGTGAACAGTTGCTCCTGAACAGAAGAGATGGGAATAGTAAACTGTAAAAAAAGTTGCTTTAGAAACAGTTTCTAATGGCCAGATTCAAATACAGAGCTTGCTAGCCAGGAACATGGATGCTTTTTGAATACAGTGGAAATATCTAATTTTAACGGATGAAATAAATGGAACTAAGCATGTAATAAGGGTACTATTCAGTTTAAATACAGCAGAAATTGTCCAGTAAAGATTACCTAATGAGCATTAGATTGCCTCCTCTAGTTACAAAGTACAAACAAATAGCTCCTAACATTCTGCATTAGTAACAGGCCCTCAGGAAATGCCCAAATCAAAACTTTAAAACATTAATCTCCAGTGTAGAAAATTTAATCTTTTATTTACTAGTAATGATGCTACTACTCACTCCTTGTATGAATATCAAGAAATCATACAGCATAGTTTTTCACTGTCTTGAAAGCAAGTGAAGACAGCCACGAGAGTACTTCCAGATGTTAAATGAACCCGCCACATGTCACAGATTCAGGGTTTTCTTTTTAAGACCATTTATAGAACTTTGGAAAGAGCACAGGGTATCATGTTATTAAAAGGTAGGGAGGAGCATTTTATTTTTACAACGAATTAAAGACATGACTTAGTTTTTTGCAATTACTATTAACGTCTGTAGTCCAAAAAGGAAATAGCTCTAGGTACCTATAACTAAATAGTTCCTATCATTGTATTAATGGATTTGCACCAAAGAACATGTCCTAAACTTGACTGTAGCAAGTTGTAAGGCATCCAAACATTCAAACAGGTCTGATGTTATTGTGAAGTTCACAAAATTTATAACTATTTAGGCTGCCATATTCAGTGCAACAAATTTTGGGATTCTTTAAATATTAATTCCGAAACAACAACAAGAATTAGAGAATGATTTCTCAGAAGTATTGCAGAAAAAGAATATCTTTGTGCAGGTGTAGGGGCACATGCTAAGATCACACGATCAGTCTAGAGCAAAGCAGGAGCAGTAGCCAGTGTGCTGTGTTATGATGCTTCCTACAGCATTTACTGTCTCAAGCATGGAAGAGGATATACAAATGATAAGAAGAGAGAAAGATTAGGAATACCCACAGCTTAAAATAGGAGTACTGCCATTTCTGGTTAAGTTGACTTAATTCCTTTACTCTAAAATTGGATTTAGTTTGATGAGAATTGGAAAGAACGATCAGCATATTTAACAATTAAAATGGACTGCATTTTACATTAACAGACTGTCAATAAGCCAAGTCAGATTGGTAGCCTTGAGCTTGCCTAGTTCTGATTAACTTACGTCTTTTATGCAAACATTAATTCACTCCTGGCATGTACTGTTCTTGCAAATACTAATCATGGCACAGATTAGATGAACATGAAACAGATTTAGCATATCAAGTTCTACTAAAGATTGTAGGTGTGCAGTCAACAGCAATGTGCTTGCCAGAGGCAACAAAACAGGGAAAATAATGTAGAAAAGAAATCCTTGTCTGCTTAGTTAGACAGCACCATAGTCCTACTGTGTGACAAAGAACTTTTATGGCGACTGGCCAAAGACTAGGAGTTTTAATGATCATTCTGTGAGATGTCTCCATGGGATGATCATGGTTAGTCAAAGCAGGGTCTGCTTCATAAAGCTGGTGACTGCATAATAAAGTCATCTACAGGTCCTAATCTATAAATTATCCTTCTTAGAGGATGAAAGTAGCTGCATTGCTTGTGTACGTACTAGTTCTGCTATACAGGAGCAAAAATTAGTGCAGGTACTTACAGTGAGATCAGTAAATCATACTTTTCAAAGCCTCGTATGCAGCAGGATAAAGATGCATCTGAAGCTGAGCTTTAGTTCTCTTCCCTTCCCCTCTTTTACCCATGACAACTTTAAAAAAAAATAGCCATCTGGCATCCCATCTGTCTAAAAGTCCAATCTTACAGTTTTTGGAGTTGTTTTTGTATACCTTCAGTGCTGCATTTGTTGAAAAAACGAGTTTCTCCTGAAACTTTGCATGATTTGAGACCTTTTGGAATCTTTGGAGGAAAAAACCAAACCAAAACAAAACAAAAACCAAAACCAGAACACAAGGAAGGAAATCTACCATTCTAGTTATTAATAACTCTGAAAGAATTAAATCGTGTTGAAGAAAAATGACAACACCTGTTCTTGCCTTCCAGGTGCTTGAAAAACCATAGCTGCTGAGCTTCAGGGATTAAGGGAAGAAATTGTATTTGCCCACTGCAGTTAAGTGTACACAGTCTTCAGAGATTCCAGAAGCTGCATGAAACAATGGAGGAGAAAGGAAATAAATAACTTTTACAGAAAAAAAATCAGTCAGACCATCTTTATATTTTTCCACTCAAATAAGAGAGCATATATGTAAGCCCAGTTGTTTTTTAATAAAGAATATAACAGAGGTGATTTTTAAGCCAAGTCTTCAGCCTGTTTTAGGAGACAGAAATCAACATGATTTAGAAGATAGTGTCCATGGACCTTTACTGTATAACTTCTTACCTGTAGAAGGACAAATGGTGCTGGGAAGGGCACTACAGGACTCAAAGGAATGTAGCATTCAACCTAAAACAAACTCAGATATAAATCTAACAGCACCCAAATATGTCATATGGTGGAGCCCCTTTAAATTCTCAGCATGAACAGTAGCAGATGGAACATCAGCATAACCAGTCAATGACATGGGTGCAAAAGTCTTGCATTTATACAGTTCTTTAATCAAGAGAAGCTTCACATCACAAAGCGGTGTACAAAGAAAGGCTGTGTGCTTTCCTTTTGCAAAAAAGAAAAATAGCTCTGGAATTAAATAGATGGACTTAGGCTTGTTTCCACAGTAAATCTCTCCTAAATCCTTTCACCCCACTCCAAGGGTGGGAGTGGGAGGTGCAGGACACGGTAGGGTTAGCCAAGACTTCCATTTCTCCCAGGAGAACTGGGATTGCTTCAGCTGCTAAGATGAGGAGCATGGATTTATGCAGCATGTTTGGAATAGCACTTGTGTTAAGTAATATATATTACTCAAGGTTTTGGTTTGGTTTTTTTTTTTTTTTTTTTTTTTTTCTTTCTCTAGCATATATGAGATGGCTATACCATTTCTGGAGTAAGGAAAAAAACACACTTTGAGTTGTTTAAGATAAATTTGCACAAAATTTCTCCATAGTGTGTATGATGCTGCCTCACTGAAGTTACAGGGAATTAGTTGGGTCTGAGGATCCTGGCTGATCTCTTCTTGTTTACCCTTTTGATAATGATGCCAGGCACTTCCTAAAGTTACACTGCATCAAGAAAGGAGTCAATGGAAATTTGCTGATTTACACCAGCTGTGAATTCCTGCAGGTGTTTAGTGGAAATATCACGTGCTTCTTGTAGTGGAAAAAATAAACTCAGCGTTGAAATTGATCTCTATATTATTAAGATAGTCTGTGTGTATGTAGAGTAACATGATGTCCTGTCGCTCTTTAAAGAAATTAACAGGTGACTTCAAGAACAAAAAGTCTCTTCTGTCCCTCCAAGAAAAATCATGGCTAGTCAGCTAGTATGTTTTCCCTATAAATGTTTTTAGAATAACGGATGAAATGATACAGAATCTATAGGTGAATTCAAGTTATAAAGTTATAGCTGTCTTAATGTAAGTCAGGTTATTTATATCAAGTTTAATATAGCTACAGTTTCAATCACTGTTATTTTAACTTATTTATTTAAAAATTAAAGAATGCCTTAGGTTGCCTGCCAGCTGTATCACAGCCACATAGCCTATCGTGCAAGAGATCAGTCATTTAAAATCAGTGCATGACAAAGTGGAAGAAAAAATATTCCCACAAATGCAAACATTATGAGAGAAGTGCTTTATATGTTGTAAGCCACATAGTCAGCTGGCTGTTTTAACTGAGACATTCACTTTTCTCTATATATTTATAAATAGCATTATGAAGAGTGTGTTATATGCTCTAAACTACTCCAAGAACATAATTTTAATATTCCACAATTCGTATGTTCATTTACATATGGTGAGAGAATATAATGTTAACATTCAGATTTGGAAGCCTCTAAAACCCATATTGTCCTCATGGAAATAATTATGATAAAAGCAAAGCAACAGCAAAACTGACTTCCAAAATCCTGGGTGACTCAAGAACTCACTGAACTCCACCATGCACCAAAGCACAAACTTTCACCTCATTTACTTAACTTGTTCAGGAAGATCTCTAGTGTAAAAATTGAACTCATGCCTTGGTTTCTGTGACAGGTCAATTTGGTTTTAGTTTAATACTACTGGGGAGTTACTTTTCAGGCTGATCAGACCAGATAGAAAAAAAATGGTGAGAGAGAATAACTAGACACAATCCAATTAGTCAGTCGGGAGGTGATGTCAAAGGCAAGTTTCAATTACAGTATGATTATTAACTGTGGTCATGTTAGCCTAAGATAAATACACTCAGTCTAACATTAGACATGCTGATTTAACCCTTTATTGAGGAGTCACTATAACGAAGGGTTAGGCACAAAACACCCAGAGGAAGCAATATTAGAGCCGTTGGCTGTGGCTGAGATGCTCACGGAGAAGATCACAGTAGTGAATCCATCTCAGATTGGGCCTGTTCCAGCAGCCCTGAGGGGATTGCACCAGTGGTGAGCCAGGAGCTGACCAGCCTCTTAGGCTCTGGTAATGGTCCCTGGACATAAAACAGGTGGGGAGTAGACACAAGGCTGTGGTTTACCTAGAAATACCATTATACCAAGGTGACTGGGCCTGGGGACACCAGCTCAGTGGGGGTTTCTGGAGCCAGCCAGCAGAAGAGGTTTTCCCTTCAGTCCCTGATGTGTTTTTCCATCCCTAGGATAAATTTCTGCTCCAAAGCACAGAGACCAGTTCCTCATTGAAGAGGCAGTGCCCAGGTAAGAGGTCCCAAGTTTTGAGCAAATTCATGTGCAAAGGGAAGTTTACGGATGGAGGCATGACTTTGAGAAAACATGAAGTGGGAAAGGTTTGGGAATGACACCTCATTTTTAGTGATAGGAGAGGAAAGAAGGTCCTACTGTGCTCTGGTTGTTGAATGAGAGAAAGCTGATAATTAAAAGGCAAGAGAAAATCTACTGAGACCATAGGAAATGGAAGACTTTCAAATAAATGAAGCTGGGTTAATGGGCTGGGTGGCTTATGCTACATGAGTACAAACCTGTGCCTTTGACTTCCAAAAATGTGGCCTTCATGGAGAACAAAACCAGACACATAACCCGTGCATCAGGAATTTAACATCCAAATAACTTCCAAACACTGGATTTCGGGACAGCTGAGGATTTATATTACCAAGTGAGTCAATGGGATCACAGATGCTCAGCACTTTGAGAGTCAGGCACTCTGACTGTCGTGAGCAGAGTAGCTCCAGTGGGGGAGGAATCGTACCACTCTCAGCAGAGCTGAAAAAGGCTGATTACTGCTAATCATTCCACTTCCCACTGTATTATCTCCATATGCTTTTGACAGAAGGCTGTGTGAAACTTTTCCAGTCGGGGTGAGCAATACACCCGAAAGAGCTGAATGACAGTCCTGGATTATTTAAATGTGACTTAGGACAGAGGAAACTTTTAAGTTCTTTCCCAGGAAAATTCAAGGTAACTAAGCATCCAAATAAACTTAATTGAGATCATTCAACTGAAATATGTCACTTAGATCCCGTCTGAACCCTAAAAATTTTTCTGGCACAATTTTACTGGCTAGGAAGACAGAAAAGAAATCCATGCCTAACCAGCAAAGCTCATATGAATAACAACCTAAAATCAGTGTAATCTTTGCAGCTAAATATGCACTTTTGGCAGATGAATTTATTTCCTTTAAGGGACTTGTGTAGAGGAATATTACTCTGCCTCTCCCAACAATACTGCTGATAAACTCAATTGATATATCCTTTCTCATATATTGTTATGTGAAGGCACAACAGTGAACAGTTACAATAAATTCAGTTGACAGTCATGGTCTAGAAGAGATGGAACAATTAATCTGCTTTACTGGGATAGAGTTTTATAACTCCCATAAAATGACCTTGTTTAGCCTGAGGTTTTTTGCCATTCAAATGAGGAAGCTCAGATGAGAAACGGCAAATGATAAATCTTGCCCACAGTTTCTCCACCAGACCGCCTGCAAACTCATCTGTGGTGATGTTACATAGGTGAAAAAATGGCTACTTTGGTCTAATTAAATGACCAAAGTTATATGCATGGACACTGAGTATGCATAAAGGAATTAATTTCAGGAATGCAGGCATGTTCCTATATAATGACCACACAAGGATCACAAGACAGTCACTGGTGCAATCAACAACAACTTCTCTGTGGTAGAGAGGATCATTTAAATGTACCTTCTGCCATCATCTTCTGAATAATAGATCCAGCTGCCTATCCTACGTTTTGACAGGTTGCAGGGAAATATAGAGAAGTTATTTTTAACTGATATCTTTAATTCAGTTGATGTTGTTATGGGTTGGAGAGTTAAAACTAAGAGATGATTTTTTTCTTGTGTGGTCAATAAATAGTCCATCTTTTGTTTCTGAAAACATACTCGTTTTAATAAAAAATATTTAACGAAATCTAATTGTTCTAGATCATGTCATTTTTTTGTATGGAGATTTATGCCTTGTATTTGTGACGTAATACCAAAAAAAGATACCAGAAATCTGTTTCAGGGTTCCATTTTCTCGTTAAAAAACAATCTAACACAAAGTGAACCCTTTCCTTTTTACACAGTTTCTCTTCATGAATGTGTTCTCCTTAGAGAAGACAGAAAGAAGATTACTTTCCAGTTCTTATTAACAGAGGTTCTCTTTGTTTCAGTGATGTCTCCATTTTACTATTTGTATCTGTTTTAGAGTTCTAAACAAATATCAGAGCATCACATAAATTAAGAAGATTAAATAGGGGCAGCACTAAAAAAAGCAAGACAGGATTATCCCTGGTGTAAAGGATGAATTAAGCACGATGACATCAAACAGGAACAGGAAAATTTGAAAAGCAGTAGATGATTACTGTCTCTTAATTTATGAGAAGGATTAGAGAATAAATGCTTGAAGAGAGCACACAGAATAGAATAGGTGCTTTTCACTACAGAATAATTATACCGTGTAAGACAAGGACATCCTCCGCCTACTCATCTTACTGCAAAGCACTCATCACTAACCATAAAAAGCCTAAAAACTTCGGGTGTTTTAAAAACTTTTTCTCCATTACATAGTAATGAGAAATTCAGCCCTCCCAATAAATCACTTCAACCT